ATATACGACAGGTCTGGACCACTCGTAAATTTTGTTCGTATCTGAAAAAAATCGTAGAATACGAAAACATTGGTGAATGCCATAAATTCTCCTAAATCACTCGTACGCACAACTTAAGAACAAATCTGTGCGTACGAACGGTTCTTGCATGAGGCCCATTGTTATTTATGCTTTGTAGTCTTTTTTGTCCATTAGCACATGAAATAAGTCTCACACACAATCATAGAGATCCCATTGTGATTTTGGAGTTTTACTGTTAGATTTATTTGCAGTGAGAAATAATAGCTCAGAAATGACTGACAACGAGAAAACGGCCATATTATAGAGGCAATGCCAACATTTTCTGTYGTCACACAATTCAACATATCAGTCTAATGTTATTGCCTAAAGTGTCTCCTAATGTTTCACACAGAATTATTATAAGTGTCCAATTTCTTCTCACATCAGGCTGCTTGACAGTTTTTACCCCTGCCAAATCACTGATTTATGTCAGCAGGAATGGGACATTTGGACCTTTTTTATTTCTGTCTTTGGGATATTGAAGGTCAGCTGTGGTTTAAATGAGAGCCGTCTTCCATCGACAGATTAAATATGAAACAGGAATGTGATTTTTTTTTCAGCCAAACTTTCTTTTATTCAAGAATAGATAATGTAAAACTTATTGTATCAAGTCTGTGTACATAAAGTAAAATCTAAATCMTTGAAATGTGGACTCATGTTCACTAACATGCTGTTATTTGTTCATCTTTCTGGCATCAAATGACAAGTTTGGTTTAGTTCAAAGGAAAGTAAAGATCTGTTGAGTAATGAGAGCTCAAAAGTTACTAATCTTGGACCTGTAATATGTCTAAATGTTGAACCCTGTTAGTGGAAGCTGTTTATTTGGATATAAAACAAAAGCAGTGGGATGTGTTCTTGAGATAAACCAGTGCTGTTAAAGGCTTGTGTTGAATTAAAGGGTATGGCTTTTTTCTTGCATAAGCTGCTGCCGTAACAGTATGTCCTAAGGGGAAACCCTTTTTTWAAAAAACATGATGTTATAGCTGAAGAGCCAACACGTGGAGGTTGATGTGACTTATGTTCACTGAGTGTTCATATTGTTCCAGTGGAAACTAAGATATGTGATCAAGCACCTCTGAGGAGTCCTGTGCTCATTCTTTCCACAGCCCAGCTGGTTATTAATGGTCGTGACAGGCAGGAGGTAAGCTTAGTAAGAACAACTTTCAGCAGTAAGCATATTTTTGCAAAGGTTTTGRTAAATTTAGCAGATTKTAAAATAGAGGCCAGAAGGGCTGAATCTCTAAGTTCTTAGAAAGCACAGCAGTAAAACAACATAACAAAACAATTTGTGGATTTTTCTGCACTCAAAAGTTCCCAAAGTTAAAGAAAGAAAGTTTTAGATAACTGTGCTTCTGGGGAAGTCACGCCCACTCTCTGCTGGTCACTGGACGCACAGCAGCTCCAAACATCTGCGTTCACAGCTCCAGGGATCTGAGGCGGATCATTAACACTCTGAACGTCTTCAAGAAGGCCCACCAGCACCTCTACGTCTTATTGCTGAGCCAAGCAGAACCCAATAATCCAATGCTGGCAGCCTTCCACAGCTGAAACCTGGTACCACTAGTGAGGTGACAGCCCGCCTAGAGGACAACTGTAGCATCTCCTTCTCTAGAGGACATCTCCACCAGCAGGAGCAGGACAGTCCACATCAGTAGTGAGCCACAGATTACTACATAATGATGCTGTTGCACCTTCATCACCTGACTTCAGTCCTGTTGAGAACTTATGAACCCTTCTCACATGTGAGAAGAAGACCTGTCAAACCTGCTTTAGCAAAGCTGTGGAAGCCAATCATGGAAACATCAGGAAACAAAACTCCATAGAAGGAGCATTTCTGATTAGATTACCGGTAGATTAGATTAGATTGTGGCCACAGATTAGTTAAACCCAGGTGTTTCCTTCTATCTTTTTCCAGAAACCTAAGAGCAGATAAAACATTTTTGTTGCCAAATGACTTCATACACATCTATATGTACCTTAAAAATATACAGTTCTTGTTATGCTCCTTTTTTCAGAGGTATGTACCTTAAAAATATACAGTTCTTGTTATGCTCCTTTTTTCAGAGGTAATGTTAAGATTTACTGAGAGCACTGCATTTCTTCTGGCATATTCTTACACAGAATAATGAGAGCTGCCACGTTCAGCGACTTTATCAAACATAAAAATGACTATAGCTCTTCCCAATTTTACAAAAAATTGAACTAATATTTGGTGTGTGTGAGTAGCACTCTGGTTAGAGTTTGCATGTTCTCTTTGTGCATGTGTGGGTTTTCTTCAGGTACTCTTGTTTCCTCCTACTGACCAAAAACATGACTGCTAGGTTAAAAGGTAACTAAATTGTCCCTAGGTGTGAGTGAGAGTGTTAATGGTTGTTTGACTAATTTGTCTCTACATACATTCTTATTACTTTGCAAGAGTTTCAGTGAAATCTGTCGTGTGATAATGAGATATTTTGCTAACAGACAGCGTTGAAATGTGAAAAAAAAAGTCATACTCGTCACCCGACGTTATTCATTGTCAAACTGGTGTCAGATTAAGCTCCTAAGTTTTCATCAGTCACATTTCACCGTGTAAAACATCTGTTTTATCCCCTTGTATGAGTTTGTAATGGTTTGACTCTCTTTATAAAGTGCTTCCTGGCTCCCCACATCTCCAAACTTTGAGGCCTGGCAGCTCTCTGTTTACAAGCCTAGTAGCAAGAAACTGTTTTGATTGGTTGTTTCGGAAATGTGGTGTGTTTGAGGAAATGAGAAAAATATGATTCATGGTGCTGTCACACACTTCCTGGTCACAAAACGTTCTGTAAATGTGCATATTATGGAAAAAATTATTCATCATTAAATGTGGTTTTAACATTACTTTTATGAAGTTTGAAGTCCGTGCTGTCCAATCCAGCTCACTGTTTTTTACAGAAGCCCTGTGAAAGCATCACAGCTTTGCTGATCTCAGAGTGTTAAAAGAAAAAAAATTCCTGTATCCGCATCGTGATCTGGAACATCACCAAAAATTTAAAGGTGTGTTCCTTGGTCCAGTACACACATGTGGTACTGGGCCAAAGAACACACCTTTAAATTTTGGTGATGTACCGGGTCACGATGCGGATACAGGAATTTTTTTTCTTTTAACACTCTGAGATCAGCAAAGCTGTGATGCTTTCACAGGGCTTCTGTAAAAAA